ACATGATTTCGTTGATGCATTTAATATACTATTTAATTTTTTGTTTCAAAAAAATATACATATTTCTTTTTTTGTTTCAGGGAAATATTTAACATTTTCTTACCTTATTTTGACTAACAAGTAAAAATGATTGTATATTTGTTATATTTATTCATAATTATATTGTTCAAAAATATATAAATTGTAATCTTGTAAGGCATAACAAATGATATGTCAAGCTCCATGTTGAATATTGTACATCTAACTGTGGACAAAATGTACTTTCTTGAAGCTAAATTACCTTTGATAATTAATGACATTAGAGGACTATTAGGTTGAATGCATAAGCAAATCATCCTTTAATATGCTTAATAAATGGATCTTTGATATCTCTTCAAGATAAAACCATTTTCTAGAAGTTGTTAATTAAAAGTATTCAAAGTATTCTAGTAAATATACTAATAAATTATCTATGCTTAAGTAGCTTATTCTGTATATGCATATTGTGTTTTTGATTTTTTTTTCTGTTTTTTTTTTTCTAATTAATTAATACATTTCTCTGACACTTTATGATATGGTTATAATACATATTGATTTTCATGAACTTTGTACAATACTGGATCTTTCTTACTATTCTTTATTTATTTATATTAAAGATTTAGGAATAACTTTTATATTTTCGCATTTAATCAATAATGACTACTTCTATTTGGTTAGTGCAATTTGACTATTATGTCAAGAGAATTTATTATTTTCATATAAAATAAATTAGACTATGACTAAAAATTTTTTAAATAATAAGAAACTACTCTGTCACCTCATCCTTTGCTAGTGATATCTCAGAAGCCCAATTCCAATTTCTATAAAACTCCATTTATTTGAAAAAGGAGATATATCTAATTTTCATTCAATGATTTGATAACATGGTATGAAAATAGATTCAATCCCTTTCTGTAAACTTTCAAGAGATTTGATTTAATCATATAATTTCCAAGTTTCTCATGTTGCAACTTTATTCTATAAAATTATTAATATCACAATTGTCTTTGTGTATTGGTCTAATGTTTTCTTATTCCCGGATGAACTCTAGAATTAGTTTATTTTTATTTTAATCACATGTACACAAGAAGCCAGACTTCAAAGAAATTTATTTGATCATTATTTTAAATATATTTACTAATTTATGATGAAATAATTAATTTTCTACTTTATTATGTGACATTTCTATATCTATGAAATAACCAATTTGCAGAAAAACTGAATTTTTTCATTAATTATCATAAAATACAGTATGAAACTATTAGCAGATGCCAATATTTTCTAAAAGTCGTAATTAAGGTTACAAATTAAAGAAGGAATACTTTATTTTCAGAAGCAGTAAATCTTAGTTGTACTATGATATTTAATTATAGATATTTATGATAGAATATGATATAATGCTAATCTTTTTTTTTTTTGATATTTTACATGTTATTTTTATATTATTTTTCTGTTGTATAAAAAGACATGTTTCATTAAGGAACAATCTTCAGAGAGAAATCACACTTCTCTGTAAGGCCTCACGCATTTGAAGACTAGGTATTATATACTAATACTAATATCTTTACTATCAGGAGGTTATAAATTTATATTGTAGAAGGAATATAACTCAACTTTAATTATGAAATAGAATACACATCCTCTTTAGCAATATTTATTAATTTTTTATTGTTGCATTTTTCAAATTTCTTCAAATATTTATTTCATCAATTATAGATTATATCATATAACAAAGAGAAGTTTTAATCAATTTCATTTCTCTCACTATTATTTAATGTGCTCAACAATCTTCTCAGCAAGTTTAATGAAAAGTTTTTGTCTATACCATTATTGATTTCATTTTATAAAAAAGCTTTAGATGATAATTTTTCTCTGAAAAATAATGACCTATTTGATGATATATAAAGTAATTTTGTTCCATTTTTATAATATTTCTTTTTGATTGAAAACTTTTTATGACTCTGCTTAATATGTTAGTCTCCATGACTTTAATTAGAATATTTGATTTCTCATTATTCTTGTATGAGATTGTTTAATTTTTTGAAATAATATACATAATAATGAATACTTATTAATGCAGAATTTTATTTTTGTTTAGTTTTTAATTAAACACTTATCATTTCTTTTAAGATTGTATGAATTACTGTGCAAAGATTGATTCATATTAGGTGTCTTCTGCTTCGGTGCAGTGAAATAATCCTTAAGATTATAATTCAGATTTTTTCTTTGCTCTAATTAATACTAATAATAATATTTCTACTTTAAGTTGATTAAGCACCTTTAATTCTGGTGTAATCATGTGTATTATTACTTATTGCAGAAAAATCGTGATTTCAATAGTAAAATTTTTATTTTCCTATCTATAATGGCATAAAATAACTCAGCCTTGCTTTTATATCATAATATTATTTTAAAATTCAATTTTATAGTTAATTTTAGTGTTGAGACACAAATCAGACTCTTTGGTATTCATCATGCTTAATTTAATAGTCATAGTAAGAAATTTTATTTCTGTAATTTTTTAAGCTAAGGAGGAGCAAAGACTTTTGTTTTTTTGATTAGATGTAAAAATATAAAAGTTATTTTATTGTAATTGATTGGTAAGCTCAATAATGAATTTATTATATAATAACTAATCTAGTTTGAATTCTTTTCCTTTTGCTTGATAATTGTTATGTGCTTTTCTATACTATACTATATTTGTATCTTTAAATATTATAAGCAAACTTTTGGATTATTTTGTATTTTGGTATTTAATTTTGCTATTATTGTTCTATTGTATGTTCCCATCCTTTCAGTTTATAAATTTTATAATTGAACTATCTTGATTGGCTTTTTCATATTATTGTTCAAATTACAAGCAAATTGTTTATTTGATATTACTAAAATAATATAATCTAAGAATAGAAATACTACAGGTTATGTAGATTCCAGATTCCCTTTGCAAGTCAAGTGTTAGAGATACTCCTTGGAATGTAATAGTGTGACATCGATACTGGAATAAAACATCCACTAATACAATTAGGCAAGCTCATTGTCTTGGCTTTTTTGTACTTATATATACCAAAAATTACTATTTATTTAATTAAATATCAAAAATTTTTAATACTCAGATTTTTCACTTCTTCAGAGAGTTTTTGGAACCATTCACCTTTTATTTGGTAAAATAAGCAATAATACAAATAATTTCATGTTAACGATTAGATAAAACATATAAAATGAAATCCACAAGAAAGATTAATAGAAAATAATAAATTCATTTAACAACAAAAATTGCAAATTGAAAATATCAATGAATTAATTTGAAACATTCATCATTAATAAGACTTAGATAACTATTATTCAACAAAATCAGAATTAGCATAGATTGTTTTTTAATAAAATTAAAAACTTCTTAAACTACTATTTAATATAAATAAAAATTCACTTTAAACATTTTGGATGAGCAAAAGATACCCGAGATCAAGGCAAACAAAAAGATCTGCGAAAAGTAGTTAGTATTAACAATTAGTTGCTGATCCGCATGTGACGCGAATTTCTTTTGATTGCCATCTTGTGTTACAAACCACAAAAATAATTCACTAACAATAGCATATTTTGCAGGTAACATGTATAAATCTGATCTCAAAAAGTAAACTTTTTTAAAAAAAAGATTATTTTATTATAGTTTAAGAAATTTTATATAGGATTTCAGAAGTATGTTCTGCTAATTTTATTTTAATAATTTTCCTTTTGACCCAAAACTAATTGATAAATGGAATTAACAGCTGCAGTGTCACTTGTATTAATATTGCAACTTTTGTTCCTTTTCAAATATAACGAGTTGTAAAGAACTATGAATATTGCAAACTACACAGTGGTAAATGGACTATTATTAAGTTGTATTATAACTTCAAGCCTAAATGTAAAGGAATTGGACAATATTATTGACATTCTTGAGTTTTTTCTTTAGAAAAAATCCACCAGTCACATAAATATAGACCATAATGAAGTTTTGACTCAATACTACCAGTTAAAACAAGCTTTACTGGATAAGTGAAGTTTTTTTTTATTAAATAACATAACGCCACAATTTACTATATAATTTCTATTGATTACATGTGGATCAGCAATTAAATAGTCAAAACTCACTATATCTTGCATGCGTTTTCAGAATGATAAGTATCATCACATCACCTGCTCTCAAAGAAAAATTCATATATTTAAATAATTCTAGACCAAGTTATTGCTGTGTTCTCAAAAAAAAACTGAATCACTTTTGTAACTTTCACTATAAATCATCAATTAGATGACAATTATTTTTTCACCATCATTTGCAATGAATTACTGAAGAATATACGTCAGAAATCAAATGTTATCTTGGAGGTTGTATTTAATACCAATTTATCAGTCATTTCATTTTTCTTATTGCATCCAAGTTAAATCAATTATAATAAATATTAGAAGTCATTTATATTTATATTTATTTGTAGATATTTATATTTATTTATAGATATTTATAATTATTTATTTATTTCTTTTTGCCTAATTATTATAGTAATTTTTTTTTGTAAAAATAAATTTCTTTTGTGTGGTGCTATAAAGATGATTAGACAATAAAAAATTGAATGAATATTAATGGACTGATCAATTTCATTGATAAAATCACAAAATACATTTTAAATAAAATAATTGAATAGATATATAAATAAAATAAAAATAATAATCAAATAACAAAATATAATCTAAGTAGAAAACTCAGTTGGACATCATTTTCTTGTCTTTCATTACTAATTACAAGTGAGTCGCAGTCGGTGGAATCATTAATATTTGGAAATTCTGTGAGACATATATGATATTTGAATTTGTAATCGAATCTTACATATTATTTGCATGATTCAAATATTCATATATATGATTTATCTCATACTATTTCGAAGAATGAGATGTTTGAGATTCAGGGAGATGAATGTGAAGATTCTGGGGAAATTTGAAGTTTCTGATCAAGAGTCTGGAGATAAAGATTCGAGATGTGAAGATTGATCAAATATGAGTAAAGGTTGTTGTAAAGATTGTAACTGTAATGAAAGTGGCAAGGCTTCCAATTGTGAAGAGTGAACAGCAGGAAATGTACGTGCTATAAAACTATTTGATAAATGTGGTTGATGTGGTTGATATAATTCAAATATGCCAGTCAAGTTGAGATTTTCTTCCTTATTTTTAGGATGTATTTCAGGTAATTCTTTGTTTCGTTGTTTCTTATTTTTTTGTATTTTATCTATAAAATTTTAGGGAATATTGAAGTTAGGAAAATAATCAAGATGAAATACAATAAGGAAATATTAAATAAAAATTTATATTTACTTGGAGTTTTTCTTTTAAGTCCATATATTCCATATCTTTTTTTGAACAATTCACCTGCACGTTCAGACAAGGAAGCATAATAATCCTTAACTTCTTGAGGCTCATTACTCCAATGTTTAGAGATAAGAGGAGAAATTGACGTTTGATCGTTTTTCTTTTCATCGGAATTCAAACACATGGTGTACCATTTTCTGTATATAAAAAATTTATTAGGTACTTTCGTTTTGTCACATTTATTATTTCTGGGTTTTATTATATCCTCTTCAGTTAATTTTGGAGGGAACGGAACATTAGTAAGACCCCAGATAGGTTTATTTGCTTTCGTATTTAGTTGTGATTTTTTAGCTACAGTATCATTTGTTATTTCACCACCAGTCTTAAACTCAAAAATGAAATCATAAGTATTATCTTTCGGTGGTTGAATAACTTGATAAGTCATATCGCTATTTGATAATTGTTTAGAATTAATTTGTCAATTTCTAACGTAGTTTCTAAGAAGTGGATAGGATATCTTTTATCTTGATATAGACGGTCGTTCGGTTTACCATAAATTTCCTTTCAGAAAAATTAAAAAATTATAGATTTCATATAATTTTGGTATTTAAAAGAGTATTGTTAATACTGAGATTACTCACACATCAAACACACAGTATAAAGAGCATAAAGGCAAACAAACCAAAAAAGTAAATAAATTACCGAAATAATATTCTAAATATTCTAATGATTATTCGAAATTTACCCAAAAAGATTCAGATGTCACTCAACGGAATAGGAATTCCTTTGATTAACTAAAATAATTAACTCGTATATTTTCTTATTTTAATTTTTTTTTATCATTAAACTAAAAATATATAATAAAATAAATAATAATATTCAGCAGTCGCGATGTGTGAATATTTTACATTTACATACATAATTGTACCCTAAAACCCTTGAGCAACACAACAATGAACATGAGCATCAATATGAAACAGATACCAAAAGTGGGAAGGGAAAATCATTATGATTATTAGTAATCTTCTTTAAATTACTTGGCGCGGGAATTTCAATTTATTAAATATAAAATTTTATAATTTTTGAAAAATATTAATTGCATATATTAATAGTCATTTATGGATTACATGATAAATAAAAGAATTGAAATAATTGGCTAAACCATTTTTGTTTATTAAATGCCAATAAAACTTTCAATATTATTTATTACACGTGTCATTTTATCTAAACTAATAAAAAAAATTCACATCAAATCATCCATTCCATACCTATAATCATTACCAACTAATCCAACAGAAATAGTTTTGAAAGAAGTAATGTTTTGAAAAAGGATTTTATGATAAATCTGTAGGTGTAGTCCGGAAATTGTTGATGTAAATATAGTTAAAATGACCTTTACATAAAAAACTGGAATTGACAGAGTTTTATAAAAAAGATACAAAATAATTTAGAGTTAATGGAACTCAATAAAATTATATCCAGTTTGCCCCTCCAAAATACATTTGCATTGGCAGTTGAGATTACAGTATCTCTAGGTGAGACAAGTCAATTTTGCTGATATGTACGCAGCATTAATGAAATGTCAATAAAAGCAGATACTAAAGTGATATTAGAGGTTTGATATTACTGAACTGAATCTTATAGAAAAATAAATCATTTAAAAAATAAGATTTGTTCTCATATAACAATTGTACCATATTTGAATTCTTTGAGAACAATTCGAATAATTTCTCATTTAAATTTATCAAAGTTCAGTATAATTAGAAAATAATAAAAAAAACACACGGGATATATTTTACATTTATATATATATTATATATATATTTATATATTTGTCTAAGTTATTATCGCATTTTTTTTCTGGTAAAAATAAATTTATTTTGTGTTATTTTGTGTGTGTGGTATAGAGAATAAAGAATTGAATGAATATCAATAGAATGATCATAAATAGATAAATATAAATAAATAATAATCAAATAAAAAAATATAATTGTTTAATAAAGATGCTTAAAAAACTTATAAAAGTCATATCAGATTATCTTTTTTTTTTTATTTTTTAATAATATAATTATAGTTGATATTGTCCTACGTATCTATACTCATCATTTACTTGCTCAGGAAATTCTTTAAATTCTGAAGGACATTTATTATTATTTAAATAAATAATTTTATTTGGATCATAATCGTATATGTTATTATTCGCATGATTCATATTATTTGTATGATCCATATTATTTGTAAGACAATAATCATCCATCTCCATTTCAAGCGACTGTTCTGATGTTTGATATCCAAGAAATGAAGATTCAGAAGAAGAATATGACGATTCTGACGACTCTGAATGTTGAGATTTATTAATTAGGAGTAAAGGAAGTTGTTGCAACTCAAATCACATATTTTCCAATTGTAAAAATTGAACATCGGGAAATGCACATGCCGTAAAATTATCTGATAAATGTTGTTGATGTAGTTGAGGTTGTTGATGTGGTGGTTGTTTATGTTGAGGTTGTTGACGTGGCGGTTCAAACGTACCAGTTGAGTTGAGATTTTCTTTCATAATATTAGATTATATTTCAGTTAATTTTTTGCTTCGTGTTTTATCATTTTTATTGGTGTTTTCCTGATTTTTTCGTACTTTTTCTGTAAAATTTTTGAGAATATTGAAATTAAGAAAATAATCATTATGAAATACAATAAGGAATTATTAAATAATAATTTTTATTTACTTGGAGTATTGGCTTTAAATCCTTCTTTTCCGTATATTATTTTGAACAATTTACACGCACTTTTAGACAATCCATGATAATAATCCTTAACATCTTGAAGTTCCTTACTCCATTGTTCACATTGTTCAGAAATATAAGGAGAAATTGACGTTTGATCATTTTTCTGTCCTTCTCTCTCCAAACACATGGTGTACCATTTTATGTATATAAAAGAATTTATTCGGTACTTTCCTTTTATCACAATTTTTATTTCTAGGTTTTATTAGATCCTCTGCAGTTAATCCTGGAGGGAACGGAACATTAATAAGACGCACGATCTTTTGATTCGCTTCGCATTTAGTTGCCATTTTTTAGTTCCATCATTCATTTTAACACCAGTTTCGCCAGTTTCATAAATGAAATCAAAGTTATTATCTTTCGGTTGTTCAATAACTTGAACTATTTTGTTAATTTTAAAGTGGTTTTTAGGAAGTGGATATCTTTTATTTTTCATAAATTTCCTTTTAGCTAAATGGAAATTAAAAAATGATTGGAAACAAATGTAGAGATTTATATGACTTTTGTACTTGATATCGTTTTAATAATATAACTAGCTATTTATTTTTTTTTGGGTATCCACCACACAAATAAGATTGGAATTGACAATAGTAAATTTATTTTTATAATGATTACCGAAAATGATTTTTGATAATCACTATAAAAATAAAAATTA